GCCGCTCCTCACTCCTCCTCGTTCCCTCCCACAGAGGCTCCACTGCAGACTCTCCACCTGGACGTGTGGGGCCCAGCCCGCGTCCGTGGACAGGGCCACGAGCGGTACTTCCTGCTGGTTGTCGACGACTACACGCGCTACACCACGGTCTTCCCCTTGCAGCGCAAGGGGGATGTCCCTGATGTTTTGATCCCCTGGATCCACGCTACTCGTCTCCAGCTCCGCGAGCGGTTCCAGTCGGACTTTCCTGTCCTGCGTCTGCACTCTGACAGAGGTGGTGAGTTCTCCTCAGCCCTCTTGGCAGCCTTCTGTGCGGAGCACGGCATCCGCCAGACTTTCACGCTTCCGGCCTCTCCGCAGCAGAATGGGGTTGTTGAGCGCCGCATTGACTTAGTCATGGAGGTCGCTCGTACCTCCATGATCCATGCAGCTGCCCCCCATTTTCTGTGGCCGTTTGCGGTCCGGTACGCCGCGCATCAGCTCAACCTTTGGCCCCGTGTCTCCTTGCCGGAGACCTCGCCCACACTGCTGTGGACGGGGAAGGTTGGCGACGTGTCGCGTTTCCGGGTCTGGGGTGCTCGTGCCTTTGTCCACGATACCACCGCGGACAAGCTCTCCCCTCGCGCCATTCCTTGCATCTTCCTTGGCTTTGTCCCTGACGCACCTGGCTGGCAGGTTTACGACCCCGCCTCGCGCCGTGTCTTTGCGTCTCAGGACGTCACCTTTGACGAGTCGGTCCCCTTTTTCCGCCTCTTCCCCTACCGCACTGCTCCTCGCCCCCCCCCGCCGCTCTTTCTCGCCCCAGGTCCTCCCCAGGTAGACCCCCTCCCCGCGCCAGGTCCTGCTCCTTCAGGTGTCTCTCAGGTAGACCCCCCTGCGCCTGCGCCTGTTGAGGTCACTGGTGACTCCGGTCCTGCTGCGAGTGGTGCTGTCCCTGGGGGTGCGGAGCTTGGGGGTGCTGAGTCTGGGGGCGCTGAGCGTGTGGAGCCTGGAGGTGTTGAGCCTGCGCGTGAGGAGCCTGGAGGTGCTGCGTCTCGTGGTACTGCGTCTGGAGGTGCTGCGTCTGGGGGTGCTGAGCCTGTGTGTGCGGAGCCTGGGGGTGCTGAGTCTGGGGGTGAGTCGCCCGAGGGTTCTGAGACTGCTGTTACGCGGTCTCCTTGGAGTAGCCGTCTTTGTCCGCGTGTGCCCCTCACCTCCCAGCAGCTGCACGACTGGTACGGTCGCCGTCAGCGTCCCACTTCTGCACCTCAGGGCTCTCCTGCTGGAGGTTCTTCTGCTGGTGTCGCTGGTCCCGGAGGTGCTCGTACTGGGAGTACTGGAGCTGCTGGGGCTGGTGGTGGTGCTGCTGGAGGTACTGGAGCTACTGGCGGTGCTGGAGCTGTTGAGGGTACTGGAGCTGCTGGAGGTGCTGGAGGTGCTGGAGCTGCTGGAGGTGCTGGAGCTGCTGGGGGTGCTGGAGCTGCTGGAGGTGCTGGAGCTGCTGGAGGTGCTGGAGCTGCTAGGGGTGCTGGAGCTGTTGGAGGTGCTGGAGCTGCTGGAGGGGCTGGTGCTGCTCGTGCTGGTGGCACTGCTCAGCCGCGCCTGTTCTTTGCTCCGCCGTCTCCGTCGTCTCAGCCACCACCTGACTCTGCACTTCGCCAGGTTCTCAGTCTTCCCTCGTCTACTGGTCTTCCGTTACAGCCTGGCTCACCGCTACATGCTCCTTCTCCGTACACAGAGCAGCCTGGTGGCCTTGCAGAGCGTCGTGAGCCTGCGTCGCGTCCTGTCTCCCCTGTCAGTTCCGGTCGTCGTGTTCCTCGTCAGAGCCAGCCGGCTGTCTCCGGCCCTCCCCTTGTAGTTCGTCGTCATTCTGCTCCTTCACCGCGTGTTCCTCTGCCGCCTCCCCCTGCGTCCTCTCTGCCTGTCGTTGCTGACCCTGCGTCTGACCGGTTTCGTGCTGAGCACTCTACTGTCACGCGTCTGCTTGCCACTGTTGTCACTGACCCGTCGTTTGAGTCTGCTGCTGCGTCCGCCTTAGTCACTGAGCTTGTTGCCTTTGCTGCTCACTGTCATCTAGACTACGCCGCCAGTCTTGTTGCTGAGTCTGCGTCTGTCTGTCCTCTGTCCGTCGGGGGTGAGTGTGCTCTTGGCACGGACGTCCTTAAGGACAGGCAGGAGGACCTTGAGTGTCTTGCAGCCGCTGCGCCTCATCTCGTGGCCATGCTGCTTGCCCCTGAGGGAGACCCGGATGCACCAGACATCCCTACCCCGCGCTCTTACGCTGAGGCGATCGCGGGTGAGTACTCCTCTCAGTGGCAGACAGCCATGGACGCAGAGATGGCATCCTGGAAGTCCACAGGCACCTTCGTCGACGAGGTTCCCCCTCCTGGGGCGAACATTGTCAGTGGCGTGTGGATTTTCAGGGTGAAGCGGCCGCCACGTTCTCCGCCTGTCTTCAAGGCTCGTTACGTGGTTCGAGGCTTCAGTCAGCGAGAGGGAGTTGACTTCTTCCAGACCTTCTCCCCCACCCCGAAGATGACCACTCTTCGGGTGCTGCTGCACGTTGCCGCTCAGCGTGACTACGAGCTTCACTCTCTTGACTTCAGCACAGCCTTCTTACAGGGCAGCCTGCACGAGGAGATTTGGCTGCGCCGCCCTCCTGGCTTCACTGGGTCGTTCCCTCCTGGTACCCAGTGGAGCCTCCAGCGGCCGGTCTACGGTCTCCGCCAGGCGCCACGTGAGTGGCACGACACACTGAGGACGACACTTGCGGCTCTTGGGTTTGCTCCGTCGACTGCTGACCCGTCGCTGTTTTTGCGCACCGACACTTCGCTGCCGCCGTTCTACGTTCTCGTGTACGTCGACGACTTGGTCTTTGCCACTGCTGACACTGAGGCTCTCGCCCTGGTGAATTCGGAGCTGCAGAAGAGACACACGTGCACAGACCTGGGTGAACTGCGCAGCTACCTTGGCTTGCAGATCACCTGGGACAGAGCACGCCGCACCATCACACTGACTCGGTCACACATGGTGCAGCAGGTCCTTCAGCGCTTCGGTTTCACCTGGTCCTTAGCACAGGCCACTCCTCTGGCTACAGGTCACTCGCTCTCAGCTCCACCTTTGGACGAGTCCGTAGAGCCGAGTGGTCCTTACCCAGAGTTAGTGGGCTGCCTCATGTACCTGATGACTTGCACTCGTCCTGACCTTGCGTACCCTCTTGGCCTTCTGGCTCGCTACGTGGCTCCTGGTCGGCACCTAAAGGTGCACATGGATGCTGCCAAGAGGGTACTACGCTACTTGTGCAGTACATCGGGCATGGGGCTCGTGCTTGGAGGACGGGGTGACGTTGTCCTCACAGGTCACTCAGACGCCTCTTGGGTTGACGACCAGGCTACGCAGCGGTCGTCACAGGGTTACACCTTCAGCCTTGGTTCTGGTTCAGTTTCCTGGCGTTCTACACGTTCGTCTTCAGTTCTCGGCTCCAGCTGTAAGGCAGAGATCTACGCCACAGCCATGGCTGCACAGGAGCTGCGCTGGCTCACCTACCTGCTGACCGACTTGGGAGAGCGGCCTCGTTCTCCTCCAGTTCTGTACGTCGACAACAAGGCCGCCATTGCCTTGTGTCAGGAGCACAGACTGGAGCACAGAACAAAGCACATCGCTCTCCGTTACTTTCTTGCTCGAGAGCTGCAGCAGCGTGGCCAGCTTCGTCTTACCTACGTGGCCACTCGGGCCAACACTGCTGATATATTCACCAAGGCGCTTCCTCCTGGTGATCATCAGCGTTTCTGCACTTTGTTAGGCCTTGTGCCCACGCTTCCTCACTTGCTGTAGGCTTTGTTTGTACCATGATTTATATGTATTCCTGCATGCTTGTTCTTGTAGGTAGATATCACAGTACTGTTGTTGTTACATATATATTTTTGCATGTGAACTGGCCTTGTGGCCTTCTTGCTTGTGCTCAGACTGCGTGGTGACGTTGTGATCCACCCTGAGCTTGCTTTGCACTTCCTGACTGGTCTTGTTACCCTCTGTTCCCCCCACTTTGCCTATGGGGGTGTGTCAAACATATGTATATATATGTTATAGTTTGGGTAGGCTTAGTGGGGTACTCACTGTGGGGTACAACCCCTTAGGTTTCTCCTTTGTACCAACTCTCTCGATAGTCGACACAACTTTTGCCTAGGATTCTAACAGCAAGTTAACGACATTAGCGCCACGCAGGGTACCGGCAAGCGCGGGCGGACGAGCATTCGCGCGATCCCCCAAGATTCTGTCGAAGATGTCGTAGAAGATGGGGATCTTCGGGGGGCGGCCCTTGCTTGAGTCATTGAGCAGGAGATCCCCCACACGCCGATACTGCACCTCCATGCGGAAGACTTCTGCCTTCACAGCGGCCAGATTATGGCGGAATTCAGGGTGGCGCTCCCCCAGCTTCTCGAATAACATGACTTCTCAGTTTTGCCCTTGCAGGCGGGTCTGGCCGCGATACTGCGCGTCGTAGTCGTGGCGAATCCACGCCAGCTGCATAACCTCGTACGGCTCCCAGCGGGACCTGTCTGTCGCCATTGCAGGGTCGGTATCGTCGTCAGCAGTGTCTTCTACGTCAGTATCAACTTCTCCGGCGTCAAAATACGCCAGCGTGTCGTCGTTGGCGTTGAGCGGGGTGTTGTGTGCGGGAACACGAGCAATCACTTGGTCGAGATCTATCACGTCTAAGCGGCGAGCAGTGGTATTATCGACCGTTGCACGACGACGATACACCTGCGCGTTTGCAGAAACGGGAGCAGCGGTAGGTGCGGTGGTTCCATGGGCTTCTTCCTGTGAAGCGGACATTGTGAAAAAAACAATGCAGACGGGACTGCATGAAGGTGGAATGTGGTTACTTTGAACCGTAGGAGTGGCTTCACGTTGGGGGTGATGATGGTTGAGGATGTTTCAAGATTGTTGGCGGGAATTTCACAGCCAAATCGCCTGCGCCGGATGAGACGCACCCACGAAACGTCATCGTGCCACGACGCATGCCATGTGGTGGGCTTTGCGCGGGGGACTCTGCTCTGGGTCTCGGATGTGCCTCCATTGGTGCACGAAATATTTGCGAGCTTCGCTGGTTCCTCGTACGTGCCTGAAACCACACACGTTCGGTTCAGTGTGCTACACTAAGTTTGTGCACATTTTCGAATCTTGTTCACTTCTGTAGGTTCGCACCTGGTACTTTTGAAATCGGAGTCAACATTGGCGAAATTTCCTGCGAACATTGGCGAAACTGGTTACCACATAAAGTTAGACCTAATATACGAACCCAAAACAAAATCACACACGCCGTAACCTCCGTTTTTTCCACTCGAATTCCATAAGTTCAGCCCTGAATGCTCTCATCGCCATCCCTCACGCCTCAACTCAACCCCTACTCTCACGTGTTGTAAGCCACATTTCCCGCGCCGCTCTAGTTCTCCGCGGGGCTCCGCACCGTGTTTTCGCGCTCTCCGCTCCTCCCTCTCCTTTCTCCGCACGTCGCGCGAATCGTTCGCCGCGTGCCTCGCCGCACGCGTAGCTGCGGCACCTCAAGCCCTGCTCGCCGTTCGCCTCTCACATCGCGCCTCGCGCCTCATATCGCGCCTCGCGCCTCACATCGCGCCTCCCGCCTCACTCGCGCCACATCGAGGGCAGGTAAGAAACGCACAGGCGGGTCGAGGGGGGAATGGGCGGATGGACGATGCGCCACCCCTTGCTCTCCTCCCCCCCTTCGTTTCTCTCCCTTGCACCGTTCATTCCTGCCATTACCGCCTGCACTCCCTTCATCCCTTCGTCCCTCGCCCCTTGATTCGTCGCCACTGCCAGGCCGAGCGCGCGGAGAGTTGCGAGGAGCGGGGTGGCGGCAGGCAAGGCGAGACGCAAGCAGGGCCGGGGGGGCAGGGGGGGGTGTGATGGCGCGAGGTACGGCGCGAGTGGTGCAGAAGGCGAGGGAGGTGCGGCCGACGACGACGACCCTGCAGCTGGGCGTGGGCATGGTGGTGGTGGCCGTGCTGGCTAAGCTCGCCATGCTCGTGAGTGCCTGGGCGTGGGGTGCCATGGCGAGGGGCATGGGCGTTGCATGGGGCGTGAGTGGGCGTGGCCGTGCTGGCCATGCTCGCCATGCTCGTGAGTGCGCCGGGATGGTGGAGTAGGGTTGCCATGGGGAGGGGCATGAGAGGTTGGATGGGGATGAGTGGCATGGCATGGTGCGTGGTGATGGCTGTGCTGCCATGCTCGTGAGTGCCCTAGGGGGGGCCGTGGTGGTGGAGAGTGAAGTTGGCATGGTGCGGAGTGGGATGCGATGGGGAGTGGTATGGGGAGTGGTATGGGGAGTGGTATGGGGAGTGGTATGGGGAGTGGTATGGGGAGTGGTATGGGGAGTGGGTTAGGGTGGGGTGGCGAGTGATGTTGCTGAAGACGGTCTGGATGATAGGCAGGGAAATGCTGTTCAGGAGATGCTGTTAGGAAATGTGCCTGGATGTTCTCACTATGCAGTCACACCACACACAGGCAGTCCGCATACAGTCACACCACACACAGGCAGTCCGCACACAGTCACACCACACACAGGCAGTCCGCATACAGTCACACCACACACAGGCAGTCCGCACACAGTCACACCACACAGACTCGAATACTTGGCAGGCTCTCCCACCCTGAATCCACATCTGTTGATTCTGGTTCTTCCAGTTTTCCTCCTCCAGTGAATCAGTCGGTTTCGGGTGCAACTCGCCCGTGAGGCACCTCTCTGCTGCTCTTCTCCCTCACTTCTACCACTCATCTCTCTCCCCACCTCGTCCCATGTCTCAAGCCACAGAACGAATGGTACAGCGAGCACTTCCCCCTGCCACTGCACATCTTCTCGTCTCCCCTCCGTCACCCCATTTTCCTCCCCTCCCCTTTGCCCTTTAACGTCTGACCCTGTGCGGCAGTATGATGAGTCCAGGGAGACGGAGAGAGTGGCACCAGTACAAGCCATTGCATTACCACGTTGTGTCTTCCCCTCCCCTCCTCTCCCCCCCCCCTGACCGTCGAGGGCGTCAGTACGACGAGTCGAAGGAGACGGAGAGAGTGGCACGGCGGGCGAGGCGGTTTGCAGAGGAGCAGGAGGAACTGGAGGCACTGAGTCGGGAGGAGTGGGATGCGGTGAAAGCAGCGCGGCCTCAGACGCCCTATGAGAGCGCTTTGACTCGCTCAGGGGCACGGATCCGCACGGGATCGTGGCCGTCCATGGTGGGTGGGGTTTGATCATGGTCGTGGCCATGTATGAAGTGTAGGCTTGATCACAGCAGCCGTCCGTGGTATGTGAGATCGGACAGAGGGACATGAGCACCACGGACGTGCAGTTTGGTCAAAAGGTCCATGTTCCATGTTCCCACCGAGGTCCATGTTCCATGTTCCCACCGAGGTCCATGTTCGTCAAATAGGCTCGGTTGTATCCGTTGACAACGGGTCGGGTCTGGATGTGTGCGTGTAACGTAAGCAGGAATGGAAGTTAGTCTTGGATGGGTCTTGTGGGATAGATAAGTGCCTTTGCATTTTTGTCTCCAATTGGATGCTCGTGTTTGGCTCTCTTTCCTGTTATTTTTGTGCATTGACAGGGCGAAGCATACAGCTGGGCAAGTGTTGTGTTGGCAGATGCAATGAAGCGAGCAGAAAGCGGCGACAAGTCAAGATAATCGTAAAACAAGATCAGTTTGTATATAGTACCGTACCGTATGTCCCAGCACGTTACTGCATGCTGCTGGCATACCCGGCATGCTCGCAGTTTTATAGATTGTGCGAGTATTGTACTGTTGGGCTGAGAAAGCCCTTAGGATCTTTGCAGGACAGAATTCAAGAGTAGGATGATGTAGTAGCGGAAGCGTTTAATAAAGGATTGTGAACCACCTTGCGCTTGTATGTGAGGGCAAAGTAAGTCAATAATAACAAAAAACATACAAGCTTTTTATATGATTACAAGGAATATGAAAAGGTTCTATTTTAACTGTTTTTGCTGTTGCGGTTCGATACAGTGCCGACTCGGGTAACTGTTCTGTAACGAATCAGTTATATGTCGTTGCTGTCGCACTGTACGTTTCGTCAGGTCAAAGGTCGGGGACCTTTGACCTTCGAGTAACCTCCGACAGTTGACTCGCGTGATACTTCGCTGTAGTTTTAGTTCCGTTTGTGTCTTTATCTTCGATGCGACAGAGGCGCTATAAATCACTTGTTTCCAACACTCCCCTTCGCCTCTGGAGTGTCGCTGCAGGTGACGTGGCTCTGTCCAGTCAGCAGCATGCAATATTCAAACTTCGACTTTCCGAGCTTCTTGGTCAAGTAATCTGCTGCCATCTCAGATGTGGGGCAGTAAGACAGCTCAAGTCTTCCCTTCTCGATCTCGTCCTTTACGAAGAAATATCGCAGGGCGATATGTTTCGTCCTGTTCGCGAATCCATTTTTGTTGGCGATGCGAATTGCCGACTGGTTGTCGCAAAATAGGGAGAAGCTGGGTAACTGGGCCAGCTTCGCTTCCTCCAGAAGTTCGCGAAGATACAATCCTTCCTTGGTGGCTGAGCAGAGTGCGATATATTCAGCTTCAGCTGAGGAGAGGGCGATTAATTCTTGTTTGCTCGACTGTCACGAAATAGGTCCGATAGGCTCGAGACGGTAGATGTAGCCTGTGTGCGAGCGCCTGTTGTCAGAATCTCCGGCGTGGTCAGCGTCGACGTAACCGATTAGCTTGGGCGTTGTAGTTATGTTTTTGTAGTAGATCAGGCCGATCGTCGGAGTGCTTACGAGGTAGTGTAGGGCGCGATCGAGTTCCTTCATGTGTTGATCTTCAGGCCTTTTGAGGTAGGTGGCGAGTTGGCTTGCTGAGTATGATAGGTCTGGACGACAGGTGACGGCCGCGAAGAGAAGGCATCCCAGCTTTCTCTGGTAGTTGCGTATGCCGGCGGGTTTCAGTAGAGCGGATTCTGCCTTGTCATTTCCTGCCGTGTAGCGGTATGGCGTAGAGATGGTAGTTGGCATGAGTGCGAACCGTTTGGCGATGGTGTCGGCATACTTTGCGGCGTTGAGATAGATCACGTCTTCTCCTTCTTGAATGTTGAGGCCGAGGTATTGCGTGACGGTAGATGATACCGTGAGGGTGAGATCCTTTTGTAGCTCCCCTTCGAACCAGGTAGTAACGTTGTCGGTCGATCCGATGTAGAGTAGGTCGTCTACGTAGACGATCAGTAGAATGTAGTCGTCGTCTTTCGTAAATCGATACATGCCTTGGTCGTGCGGCAGCTGCTTGAATCCGATGCGGGTGAGTCGAGCGTGTAAGTACTGCTGCCACAGTCTCGGGGCCTGTTTAATCCCGTACAGAGATTTTTGCAGCTGACAGACTTGATTGGGCTCTCCGTGAGAACCATGTGGGAGTTCGACGTAGATTTCTGCGTCGACGGGTGCGTAGAGAAAAGCATTGGCGACGTCGATTTGCCGCAGTTTCTTCTTTTTCATAGCGGCGACCGCGAGAAGAATCCGTAGTGAAGTATGTCGACTAACCGGTGCGAATGTCTCAGTAAAATCGCGTCCGTGCTCTTGGTCGAAGCCACGTACGACCCAGCGTGCTTTGAACTTGTCGATGGTGCCATCTGCTTTCGTCTTCACACGGAAGACCCACTTCCCGGTGAGTATCGTCTTGTTTTGTGCCACGCCAATAGGAACAACCTTCCAGGTGTTGCGCTCCTGTAGTGCTTTTAATTCCTTGTCCATGGCTTCACGCCATTTTTCCCTATGTTCCCCCCCCAGAGCCTGCTGAACTGTGGCAGGCTCCTTAGGAGGATCCGTGCCGTGGACCGCGGTGACGAGACCAAGTATCTGAAGTCCACTCTGTGTGTAGCGGGGGAGTGTTGTGTCCGCGGGATAAGCTGCTTCGTCACCAGCTTCTGGGTCAGGTATGAAATTGGGTCCTATGCGTTCTGCTTCGTTGGTGTTGACTTCTGCAGGTGTAACGTAACCAGTGTCGGCGAGGTCGAAATATGTTTCGGCGTTGACGCTTTCGCGAGGATTTTCGTCATCCATCGGGATGGGCACGGAGCAGTAAGGGAGTGGTCCTGCTTCATCTGAGGCGTTATCCACGTTCTGCTCGTCCCAGTCAGCTTCGTCTGCTGCCGAGGCGAAGTGTCGGTCACCATGGAAGCCACCTGTGGGATCCCGATTTTCTTCCAAGTTGGCAAGATATGTCGGAAGGGTGAGTCGTTCGTAGAAAATGACGTCACGTGCTGCCACTGTTTCTTTGGAGTGGACGTCAAAGATCTTCCACGCGTTGTAATTCTTTTCGAGTGCCCAGGTGTAGTCCCCACTGTGCTCGTTGGGAAAACCGGCCGGCTCGTGCAGATGGGGGTCGGTACTGTACCATGCAGCCGAAAACTCTTAACATTTTTGTGCTGCCCTGTTTTCCTGTCCACAGCATGTGCGGTGATGCGTTGTTCGGTAGTGACGACGACGAAAGCAAGTTGTGCAGCATGACAGCGTGGTCCATCGCTTCAGGCCACTGGTGATTGGGCAGTCGCATGCCACGCAGTAATTTGCGCATGGTGTTCTGGAGAGTTCGGTTCATCCGTTCCGCCACGCCTTGCTGTTGATGGGCGTAAGGAAGCGAGATGAGTCTCTTGATTCCCTTTTCTGCCAAGAACTGCTTGAACCTCTGTGAGGTGTATTCTCCTCCTCCGTCTGACTGAAAGCTCTTCAGTTTCTCGCCTGATTCTCGTTCTGCTACTGGAAGCCAAGCGATGAAGGCTTCGAAGGCCATGTCCTTGCTCGGAAGATTGAGGTGCCAAACGTAACGTGTAGCTGCATCGATGAACGTGATGGTATAACTGTATGCTCCTTGTCCGGGTTCGCGATTGTACAGGATATCGCTGTACACCTTCTCAAGTGGTGCGTAAGCTGGTGCGCTGGGGTTGTGGTGAGAAGTGAAAGGTCGATGCGGTAAATCAGCTTCAAGGCAGGTAAAGCACGTTCCTCGTGCTCGTCGAAGTTCACTTCCGTCGGTTAGAAGCAGTGAATCTTTGTCGAGAACGCTTGCTCTGATTGTGTTGTTTAACACTGTATTGCTTGGATGTCCCATTCGTGCGTGCCAGATGTCTTCGCTAGCGCGATGTCCGGGTGAACGACGATACAGGTCGGAGTTGGAGTAAAAGGCGGCGGTGAAGTTGGCGCTTCTGTGAACTTCGCGAGGAGTGGGAGTTAGCTGCTGCGCGGGAGTCGGTGAGGTATTGTCAATGTGCGGTGATGTTGTTGAAGAACTTGCAACTGGTGTTGTAAGTGTTGTTGCTGCTGCTGCCGTTGTTGTTTCTGCTGCTGTCGATGTTGTTTCTGCTGCAACCGAGTGTTGAATCGTTGCTAATGCTCGTGTTCGTTCTGCTTCAGGGATGGTGTGCGAGTACCAGAAGCCTTCTGGACTGAAGTCAGGATCAAGATCTGGTGGATGTGTCCAAGAAGTAAAAGTGACAATCCCGTCGCTGTCGGCAGTGCCGAGATCTGGGACGAAGTCGAGGACGAAGACGTTATTCTTTAATACTGCTTTGCCGATGTAGAGTCCCCCTCGACCGTGGAAGAGTTTGAACTCCTGTGTGGTACTGTCTGCTTCGAGATGGATCCCCTTCGCCATTAATTGGCTGACGCTTAGTAGGTTGTAGCCGAGTCCCTCTGCTATTAAAACCTTGGACATTTGCAGTATAACGTTTGTCTCTCGTGACTGAAGTTGCACTACGCCTTGGCGTCGTGTGCGCAGGTTCTGATTGTTGGCGACGGTGATGACGACCTCTCGTTGAAGTTGGTGTTCACGTTGAACAAATCGTCCTGAAGAGCACATATGCTGACCGCAGCAGCTGTCCAAGAACCACGTATCTTTTACGGACGGCTCGCTTTGAGCGATAGCTGCATACGTCGGATTTGGTTGAAGTGTCTCGCGGCGAGGCGTACTGTTGTCGAGTTGTTATTCTGTTAAAGTTTAGAAGAAAGAAGAGGGATGCACTAGCAAGAATGGGGATACAAATAGCAAAACCCTAGAAGAGTTGTACTCGCTATAGAGCACCCCACTACAGGCTAGAGCATAATATTCTGACACACCCCCATAGCCAAAGTGGGGTGTAATCAGCAGAGCAAGCAAAAGAAAACAAGCTCAGGGTGGATCACAATGTCACCACACATTCTGAGCACAAGTACAAGAGGTAGCAGTTTTATAGTTAACAAATGTAAGCAAAGCTAGAGGCTATCACAGAGGGCAAGTGAGGAGGAGGAGAGACTGTGGGGGAGAGAAGATGGGAGGCGACTGCTGACGCTGCAGACACACAGACGAGCTGCTGGCTCAGTGGCTACCGGAACAGCGCTCCGGACTACTGGGGTAACTGGCCCCGCGGCTAAAAGTAGCGGCAGACGAGCAACGGACCCACGGGCGACTGGCGACTACCGGAGATTGTAGCCTCCGGACTGCTGCTGCTGCTGACGACACGACGATCGCCTCCATTCAACCTCCCCCAACTGTCCCACCCCCATTTCACACACCCCCTGTTCAAACCCTAGCTCTACTCACACTCCACCCCCCTAGCACCACTCCGTACACTCCCACACATCCACCCCCCTCAGCGACAGCTGCAGCAGTGGGAGACGAAGGAGGAGGAGGAGCAGGCGACGCCACACACCCGCCACCCCCCAACCGCCACCCCCCAACCGCCACCCCCCAAACCCTAAAAACAGGGTAGGGAGGTAGGGGGGGGGGGGGCAACGCGCGGCCCCCCCCAGGGTCGCCTCGACAGGCGACGGGAGTTGGGCCGGGGCAGGTCCGGGACGGGGCGGGGCAGCAGGGGCCGCGCACGGCTCCCCTGGGCAGCGCGACGGGGCAGCAGGGCCGCGCGACGGGGCAGCAGGGGCCGCGCGCGGCTCCCCTAGGCGGCGCGACGGGGCTGCAGGGGCCGCGCGACGGGGCGACGTGCGGGTCCCTGTCGCCCGTCGCAGCGCCTCCCGGGGGCGACGCGGCGAGTGACGGGGCAGAAACCCGTCGCGCGCCTCGGGGCGCACGGCGGGCAGAAAACCGCCGCGCGCCTCGGGGCGCACGGCGGGCAGAAAACCGCCGCGCGCCTCGGGGCGCACGGCGGGAAGAAAAACTGCCGCACGCCACAGGGCGTGCGGCACAGAGAGTAGCAGTAGCAGTTGCAGCGGAAGCAACAAGGTGGTGAGCCCACCCACAGGATCGATCCAAGGGGATCGACCTGCTCTGATAGCATGTTAAAGTTTAGAAGAAAGAAGAGGGATGCACTAGCAAGAATGGGGATACAAATAGCAAAACCCTAGAAGAGTTGTACTCGCTATAGAGCACCCCACTACAGGCTAGAGCATAATATTCTGACATCTTCCGGTGAGTAATGTGGTGGAGACTCGGTGATGCAAGAGTCGGTCAGTCGTGTCATGCAACTGACGATGTTTCTTGTTCCTTGCGCAGGTTGTCCCGTCGATGTCGTTGAGGCTTGAGAAGTCGGATTCGCTTGTGTTGAGGTGACTTGACTGCTTGAAGGCCGAAGCTGCTGGTTTGGGCACTGTGTACGGGGGTGACCTGACGTCTTGCAAAGATGACAGAACGGAGGTACTGATTTCGGTTGATGCCGATTGTTGTTGTTGTAACGTCGTTGAGTGTGGAATGCAAATTCAGGCACTGATGCCTTCTTCTTGTGTCGTTCCTCTTGCAAGTCCATATCTTGTTGCTCAGCGTGGATTTCGGCGCAGAGTGCTGCTTCTGATATCTTTCCATGCGCTCGGAGTATGGCGCGGGTGGAGCGCCACTGAGGACCGAGGCCGCCGATGATGACTGTGACGAAGGCGTCTTCTGAAATCGACCCTCCGCATCGAAGGAGTTTGTCGCGCAATTCGCGACAACGACTGATATACGCCATCCCTTTTTCGCCTGGTTTCATTTCGACTGTCGTCAGTTGCGCCATTAACCGACTTTGATTTCCGCTGTCTGTTGCTTGATACAGGTTCTTCAGGTGGTTGTACGCGAGCTCTGCAGAGTTGCCGTAACCCCGGTAAGACCGTATGTTCTGTTGCTGACTTGGAGTGATATTTCTCAGCAGTATTGTGTACGCCATCATTGACTGATAAGTGTACTGCTGCTTGTCGTACTGTGTGCCGTGTGTTGGATATGGCAGAGACCCGTCGAAGAAGCCAAGAATCTGCGCGCCTTCCATCATTAACTCGAACTCGAATGACCAGGTAAAGAAATCCTTTCCGTCGAAAGGCCTTGTCGTCTGCAGTTTTAAGACATGCGCGAACTGCGACTGAACTTGAAGTGCATCCAATGTCTTTTCTTGTCCGGATGCAGGCTGCGGGTGTGGCATAAAGCTGACGGAGCCACGCTGGGGCTCATACGGGGCAAAGGTAGGCCGTTGCTGTTGGTTTCCACGTGCGTATGATGAACCGTCGAGGCTCATCGGTGTTGCGTTGTTGTTGCTGTTGTTTGACTGTGCAGGTGCCCCTTGCCGGTGTTGCTCGTAGAAGGACATAAAGGAGAAGAACTTCTCCATCATGTCTGGGTCGAAGGCTGCAGCTTGATTTGCGGGAGTTTCCGAAGACGATGCCCTTGGTCTTGTTGCCGTACCCTCCTCTGTCTGTAGGCCAGAGGCAGGAGGTGGAGTAGGGGTAGTGCCAGGAGAGCCGTTCGAGGAGCTTCTCTCCTTCTGCGTTGCCATTTCTTGCGATGTTGTAGATTTCTTGTTTGTAGTCGAATTTGCCCTGACTGCTCTCATACCATGTTGGGCTGAGAAAGCCCTTAGGATCTTTGCAGGACAGAATTCAAGAGTAGGATGATGTAGTAGCGGAAGCGTTTAATAAAGGATTGTGAACCACCTTGCGCTTGTATGTGAGGGCAAAGTAAGTTAAGAGCGTATTCCTATCCTCGTATCAAGAAAACCTCATATCAAGATTGTACTTTTTGCCTGGTAAAAGTAGCGAGAGGTTTTGGGTTTAGGGGAATTTTCAGTG